TTTAATGACAGAGAAGATGAAAATTACTGCTAACAAGTGGGAACACCTTAGCTTTAAAAGCAAGCATTTAATACGCTGCATTCAATGAAATAATATCCAGATATAACTACCTTAAACCTTTCTAGTTTTCCAAGAGTGGCCGAAATCAAAATTCTTTATTTAATTTATCTTTGTAAATGTTCAAAAACATAATACTAATAATGCTATGTGGAAGTACTGACAAAGAGGTTTCATTTGATTGGTAACACCACAAGATTTCCTTCACAGAATCAAAAGTAAGAATCAGCTTACTAAGTTAAAGGATTCCATCATTCACTGTTAAAGGGTTTGATTGGCTGAATGATGATACAGTGCAACCTACATTAAGCGGACACCTTCGGGACCTTCCCAAGTGTCTGCTCAATAGAGGGTGTCTGCTCAACAGAAAATAGGCCATTTTACAGTTATGGATGGAAGCGAGGCTAAGGGTGACCTTGTTTTGATACAAACCTTCTTTGCTTTGTTATGGAAATTGTTCTCGAAAAATACTAGTTAGCATAAGAATAACTTGATTTACATAATAAAGCAAGAAGGTTTGTATCAAAACAAGGTCACCCTCAGCCTCGCTTCCATCCACAACTGTAAAATGGTCTATTGTAAAAGTTGTGCAATGTTTGTCAATGATTAACATTCAGTGGTTACTCTGTACTGTGATAAAGTTCCATATTATTAAGGAAGCTAAGAAAGCTGTGCTGTTCTTTGTGCAAGACTTTGACGTGAACTTTTAACAGCTAAATGTATTGATTTATCTTTATTAATCAACTACAGAACATATTTCAAGGACAAAATCCAATACTACTATTATCAATTCAGTCCGGTGTCCTCTTAATAGAGGTTTTTAACAATAGAAATTAGCCAAATACAATTTGCTTTAGTGTCCGCGTCCGCTTAATAGAGGTGTCAGATGAACAAGGGTTCGTTATAAAGGGAAATATAAGATGTTAATTTCGGGACCCGAATTAGTGTCCGCTTAATAGAGGGTGTCCGCTTAATTGGGGGTCCACTTAATAGAGGTTTCACTGTTCTAATAACACACATCCCTTTGAATCTTCTGCAGCTTACCGTATTGCTTGTTTTGTCCTGAATCTGACTACATTGTACATGTATGTAGTTGCTTCACACACAAGTAGAAATGTCAAATCAAAATTAAAGTTTGAATGTACATGTCATGTACATTAGAACTCTAAGATTTGGTCCAGCCTGGAAACAAACCTAGGCCTACTTGTCTAAAGTCAGGTACTCAACCAACTTCGTTGGGATACAAATAAACAAAACTAACTAAAATGGAAACATCCATCCAATGTTACCTCCATTGCAGCTCTTCTCTTTTTCATCTTTTCCATCAAAGTCCTGCAATACCAAGTAATATATATGTAAAGAGCATGTATGGATGAAAAACAAAGCTTAACATTCATTTAGGTTAGATTTTTGTTTACTATTATTTTTCAGATCCAACAACACTGTGATGAAATATGCTGGCCCACACAGGGTTTAGTAGAGTTAGGTCCTCTGGTGCTAACCAGTAGAGTAGTTGCTTCCCCTGATTGGTTCTAAAGAGACATGAACCATATGTCCTTGTAGAGAGCCTCTGGATTTGAGTTTAATGAGGCTCTGCCAAGGGGCAGTTCCACACATTTTTTGTATTACATGTAGTACTTGTAACTCAGACTGAGGCAGAGTATCATTAACATGGGTTCTTGTTGGTGTTGTCCCTAGTCCCTAGGTTATAATCGACTAGACAATCACAACAATAGTTTAATGGCATATAGAAGAGTAGCTTGCAAGCAGAAAAAAACGGTTTTTTTAATTTGAGAACTTGCAAGCTATTGTGCTTACTGATAGGACTCTGATAGTACGGTTACCATGGAAACATAGTGATATTACACACAGTCTAGGTCATTCAAAAGCATGCATCATGACCAGCACTATAATGAGACAGTTACAAACATGTCTAAATGGTTTAACTTTTTTTGACCCTTGTATCTAGCAGAAACAATCTTGCCCTGTGATTAAACATATCAATTACCGCTAAACTATCACTGACTAAAGGTTAAATATTTGGGGGCTGTTGAGCTCGGTAATATAACTTGTGATTGAACAAGCCAGAATCACCTCCACACAGAGTATCCAGTATTAAACTTTGTTCCATGGTCAGATCGTTCCACAAATTAGTCAGATCATTCCACAATTATAATTAGAGTAAAATCATTCCACATAATTAAAGCTTAGAAGACATTCTTACTTGAGCAGAAGGATGTTCCAGTTGAAAGTTGTTCATGTAATATAAACAGTGTTCCAAGCTCAATGCAAAGTTAATCAAGTTTTTGTGTTCTGTGAAAGTTAAGGTATTTGAGCTTTCATGTTCAGTGCGTGTCACCACAAGTGTCAATAAAAATCCAATGGTGAGGTTTCATGATCAATGCCAATTAATCTCAATAAATGAAGTTTTAATTTGTGTTCAAAGCCTGGCTTTGCATGGTCACAAAATTGTGAAAATTCATGGTAGAAGTGTGGCTACTGCTGAATTTACCCTTGATACATGGCACTGGCCAACACGGTAGCATGAATGTCAAGATAATTATTAGGTAGTTTCTTGGATATTACAATGAAATTATTTTGACCATACTGCAGTATGATCTGACCACATTATGGCACGATCTGACTTTTTTTGTGGAACAATCTGACTTTGAAATGGAGTGACCGTAAACCCTACACAGTATCCAGCCGCTTTGTTCTATCACTTGCAAGATTATAGACTCCACTCAGTCTCTTAACCCTTCAAGTCCAAAGAGTGATCAACATCAATTTTCTCCTAAAAACACTTTAATACATGTATTCATCATCTAGAGAAAAAGTTACGAGAAATTATCAAATGATCAAAGAAAAATGCTTTGATCTTTTATCAAATTCTCTCAACTAATCAATTAGAAAATGTTGGAAGATCATCCTGGAGAATTTCTATGTTGATATTAGAGCTTAAAGGGTTTTAATACTATTATTCAGCTCTAAAACTTGCCTATTTGTGCTATCCATGTTGTTTCCTTAGTAACCCCAGGCAGAAACAGTTAAAGTTCAATCAAGCAAGACACGATAATAAAATGAATTTGCTTCAATTTTCCTTCAATCTTCCTAGCGCTTATATCCCCGTTAAATGATCGCTACACTTCTGTCAAGCAGCTGCACTTCATCTTTCCAGTTTTTCCTAGCTTGCATGTCAGATTTAGTTTTCGCATAAAATGTGCAACAACTGCTACATCAAGGTTTCTGTATTTGCGTATGACTCATAAACCACAGCCATGTTTAAGCTTTAAGGTCGCCAGGTAAGCTTGGTTTACTTGGATACTTCATCTCATATCCGTAAACAGATACAAGCAAACAGAGAACATGTCATCCAGCTCAACGATCGATCGGAGTTTGCCGGCAAGTCGAGTTAAATCAGGGTGATTCCACGTAAAATAAGTACTTAAAGGCCTGTCGATGATACACTACAAATCCACGGCTGGTCAAAAGAAAGATCAAGCCATAAATCTACCACAAATCCTCACAACAAGGAAATTTACAACTTGATGCTGTTTTCATCAGCAGAAATTCGCGCGGAGACGAATTAGAACCCAGTCTTTTCGGAAACGAAATAACCAGAAGCCTCTGCGAAAGTGTCGTTGCCAAATATCTTTCGAGGCTGCGATTTAAAACACCGGTGGTCTTTAGATTTGGAAAGTTTACTGAATTTTCACTACTCATTACCAACTGATTATTGTATTTACTGTTTCTCTTTTATTTGACGAGCACACCATGTATACAACCTAGCAGGAGTGACCTTCGATGACAGAATTTGTTGTGATCAATGAACTGCATGATTTGTTTGGAATGGAGCTGCGTTGTTCGATTGTGTTGTGTTGATTGACTATTTCGGCCTTTGTTCAAGTCACCTAGTCACGATTTTACATCTCGTTCTTTTGGAAAAGCACAGGAATTATTCTCAAGTATGGTAGGTGTCGAAATATCATGCTCAAAATTTAGACAGACAGATGGCTTTGTGTTGTTATTAATTTTTTTTTATGAAAGTGGTTTAATTTTTCAAACTTAGCTTTGCTAAAATTTCAGGCTGACAATAAGTACAGCTTGTGGGTATTAGTGGTTATGAGGCCAACAAATGCAGCATTTCCGTATAATGATAACTAAGTGGTGAAGTTAGAAGACGATTTCGTTTGAATTTCTTGGAAACAATATATTTACTGCCTTCCCAGCACTAACTTGAGAATGACTCGAGCTTCAGACTTTACATTTGCCGGACGTGATTATTGGGTTCTGCAAATGTATTGCATGTAATTTTAACGTATGAATCAATAACAATTTTGTGTTGGTGACCCTTTCTACGTAAGGAAAAAACAGGCATAACAAGGGCGGCTTAAACTGACTGGTGACGATGCATTGACCTAGATATCACACCAGCCTACATTGTAAAGTTTAAGAAAAGATCCTTTAAATAAATTTTGTTCTCAAAAGGGTCTTCCTTGAGAGATCTTAGGGAGAATTGCTTCAAGAAAAAGTAAACAACACACTTTCTATCAGAGCAGAAGGAAGGGAAAAATGACCCTTAGCAACCGTTGCTATTAAAACGCCTCGCTTTTGTGCATAGATCGTCATGTTTCCAATGAGTCTACACATTGCACTGTTAGCCAGTCCAGTTTAAAGCAGATGCATCAGTAGGTTATCTTTTTCACTTTATGCATAATCAGGTTTCATACGGGTCATGGAAAAGCTGGAAAGTCATGGAATTTAAGAATTTCATTTTCCAGGTCTGGAAAGTCATGGAATTTAATTGTCGGTCCTTGAAAGTCATGGAAAATTAAAGTTTTGTCTGATAGATAAGTTACCGCAGATGACAAGGTAACGACAATGTAAGATAGAGAGGAGTAATAATACATGTAGACAGTGCAAACCGCATACATTTTTGGTGGATGCCAGAGTTTGTGTCTGTTGAACTGTTTAAGGTCAAAAAATACTCTAAAACAAGGAAATTTCTTGAATTTTTTAAACTGACAGCTAAACCTAAGGTCATGCAAAGCTTGAAAAGGTCATGGAAAAAGTCCTGGAAAGTCGTGGAAATTGAAGAGCTCAAAAGAGTACGAACCCTGGAAATTGAAACCTTAAACCTGAAAATGTTTTCTGCAAGAGAAAAAGTCACTTTCTCCTCCCTGGAACTTTGCTAGAGTCTGTAGTAATGTTGTTTAATGCATAATGCGGTTTGTTTTACCTTTAGTTTCAGCAAAAAAAGACTGCAGAACCTGAAAGTGACTCTGACTGGGACAGTCTCCCAGGGGACATCCAAGAACCTACATCAAGCCCTGAAGCCACTCCTAGACACCAGCCAGCCCCTCCTCCAGGGTCCCCTAAAGTTCAGGTACCTCACAAGAGACCACAAGTTAAGACACCGGTGGCAGTAACAGCAGCAGAGAGAAAATCTGCAACAAATTCTCCAGTGAGTCCAGCTAGGGGTAAACCAGGGACTCCTTCTTCTCAAATGCCCAGTCAAATGTATGGCAAACCAGGGATTACTACCTTTGTTGATAGAAGTAGTGGTATTAATACAACTTCATTCAGCGATCAGGGCTTGGAGAGCCGACAAAACAAAGAGCTTAAACCTGATGTAAATGAAAATAAAGTTAAACAGAGCAGTCAACGAAGAGGAGATGATGGGATCAAAATTGAAATGAATGAAGTAGATCATCATCAACACAATCCACCTTTCACTGATTTTCAAGGTAGGCTCAAACTTGTCAATAAATCACCGTGCTTGCATGTAACCTTTTTAACCGCTACATTTAGCAAGGAAGTTACACGTGAAAAACTTTAGAGTGAAAGGTTGTACATTTGTTTGACACCATGGGAGAGTGCTCAGAGTTCTTTGTTTGTTATTTTTTTTACTAATTTGCATATCCATGATCATCGCATTGTATGGCCTTATCGCCATGCATCTGTATTCCTTAGCAGTTAGAACCTCCATTCAGTTTTACAGTGTATAATAATGGAAAATCATAGGCTCGGCTCTTGTTCAGGGGATGCTCAGAATTTTTTCCTGACATACATGTACAGCTGTAAGACCATTACTCTATTATCCCCAGACCTGTCAGGGTGCAAAGAAAGTCAGCTCTTTCCGGCAAGCTGTAGCTAGCACGTACTAGCCTAAAAGTCATTTCAACTAACCCGAAAAAAATTTTGATGAGCATTGGTTACAGTTCTTCTGTAATTTGAATTCCCCCCAAAAAAACTTCATTTGCCCGTCGGGCAAGTTAAGAATAGCAATCACTAGCCCGATATATAGCAAAATCCACTAGCCCCGGGCTATCGGACACTACTTTCTTTGCACGCTGACCGGTACTTTTCTCTCCATTTGTTTCAAAATTGGATTTCAAACATATCTTGAAATATGTTGATGACTTAAAAATTGTTTATCTTTTATCTACTTGTATTTGATTCCTTGTGTTCAGGTTCTAACCTTTAAAAGTTGCAACAGTGAACAGCAATGATCAATTCCTAACAATATCAACAGATAATCAAGAGGAAAGGTTATGAGTACTGATGAATTCTGGGGAATTTGCATAATATCCAATGTAAAATGAACCGTACTCTTCTTTTTACTTTGCATTTTTTTTCTCCTAACAGCCGCTCTTGCCAGCCAAGACTCATTAAACCTCATCAATATGCAGACCGAAAAACCCAAGAAGGAAAAAGTTAAGTCATCTTATGTAACCCAGAAAGAAGCACATAATGAAGGCCACTCTTGGGATTCTGAAAGCGATGGAGAACAGGAGGCTATTACTCACAGCAGACAGCACTTAACACCTCGTGAAAAGAATTCCAAAACACTAAAGAAGGATCTTGAACCAAATAATCTGGCAAATGAAGTAATCCCTAACAGCCATGACCTGCAAGAAGATGGTTTAAAAACTTGCTGTGTGCCTTTGAATCCTGGAACACATGTCACTGGGTAAGTATTATGTGTAGAATGTTGTGCTTCGAAGTTTTCTTTGCTTTTAAGAAGGTAAAGAAAAATAAAACAAGAACTTGTTTGTAAAAGCACAACAAGCTTAGACCATTACTCTTTATGTCAAGTGGTCGCTTGCCAACCTACATGTACCTACTCTGCCTCTTTACACTCCATTAGGCATAAGGCTTCCAAACTTCTCCACCAACCTGCCTAGATCCTTTGCAGAAGCTCTTGCCTGATCCCACGACCCGCATCCCACCTATGCCCTGTGCTGTCCTTTTCTACTGTCCTGCACCAAGTTGTCCCAGGTTACCCAACTTTTCTCTTTCTATCCGTTGTCCAAAACAGTTCTGTAACACAGTCAAGTGGTTGCTTACAGGAGGTTAAAAACAATACGAATTGCAAAAAGTGTTACCCCAAACATGGTATTTACGCATGAATACGTTATTCTATAGGTTTTCATATCATTTTGATCATGGTCACAATCACCATTTGGATGTGAGCCCAGAGTGGAAAGAAGCATACATGAAGAGAATTGCAGACAGGTAAGACAATAAACACTTAATGACTGGTACATAATTTATTGCAATAGTAATGTTAATTCTATTTGTAGAGAATCTCAAAATAATATGGAAAGTATTTCATTACTAGCCGCTGTTCGGGAAATGAGCCTGCACTTCTCCCCGGAGTAGGGTAAGGAGGACATTGGGTACTGGTCATTGTTTATCACCTGGAGGGGGAATCAGTTGTAACTGAGAACCCAAAAGGGGGGATTGCTGAAAACTTTGGAAGGATTCAGAGGGGGGACCACTCAAATTTGCTTGGAAAATGAAGACATGGGGGAAGGGGATCGCGAAAGTCATCAAAAGTTATTAGAGGGGATCACTTTAGTAAAGTAACATTCAAAGGGGGGATCGGCTAAATTTCGCCTTGTTTAGCCCCAAATCCTCCCCCCCCCCCCCCCCCCCCCCCACCAAACAACCCCCCCCCCACCGGGGCCCCGGCGGGGGGGGGGGCACGGCCAACAAAACCCCCCCACACCGGGGCCCCCGGGGCGCCTCGCCGCCCGGCGTTCCTGGTAGGCTGGGGCGTCTGTGGACGTTTTGCCATTATGCATAAAAAAAAAAAAAAAAACCACTGTGAATACTGTGTGAGGAGTCAAGGGGGGGGCCCCACAAATTGCGTTGGAAAAATAGAACGAGGGGGGAGGGGATGGAGAAAGACAAGAAAAAGTATTAGGGGGGATCACTTTTGGAAAGTAACCATCCAAGGGGGGAGCGGCCAAATTTTCGCTTTTTTAGCCCCAAAACCTCCCCCCCCCCCCCTCCTCAATAAATAATGACCGGTCCCTTATGGGGGACCAAGTGGGCGGCGGAAACAAGCCTAACAAAACCCCCGTAACGGGGATTCATTGGTCTGCTGACTGCGCGTTTTTGCATGTAAGCTGGGGCTGTATAGTAACTTCTACCATTATGAATAAAAAATAGGCAAGTAAGCCTTTTGAAGCAAGAAACAATTGGCATTATTTTTAGACAGTCTTTTTAACTGGGACATTTCCATAATGCACCCCTCTGCCCCCCAAAAATATAGCTTTTTTCGACATATATGTAGAAAGGAAACGTTGAGATTTAAAAGAAAATAAACTAGTCTATAGAGGAATCAGTCATTACATTGTAAAGAAGTTAGTGATTTGTGATATAGCCCAGAAAGAATTTTTTTGTTTAATTTCTCAGGAAAGTAAAACTCCTTGAGTAGTCAATACTCACTTTCAGATGACAGTTTATTCAAATAGCCTTTTTTGGTGTCCGCTGTATCTTTGCTTTTATTATATAATCGAGATTGTTATTACAGTTAGACCGGAACATTTTTGTTAGTGCAATGTTGTAAATATTTTTTACACAGTCTGTTACTCTATTCATAGATAGTTTTTAAGGGGATTGACTCATCAAGGGTATTCAGTTCCTTTCTGTTGACATCCTTTTTGCTATATTCTTTTTATCTTAGTTTAATATTAATTCTTTTGCAGATCTGAAAAATGGCTTCAGTATTTCTGGCAGGAATTTTTCAGCGCACTTCGGATCATCACTGACTTCGCTTTTATCTTCGTTCTAGAGCTTTTACGGTTCGTTTTGCACTACGTTGCTCTTCGTGTGCTTGGAGGAATTTTAATCACGTTCGGAGATCACTTCCTAAAACCATACTTAGCAGTTCTTTTTAACAGCATTATTCAGCCGATATTTATATTTACGCGAAACGTTTTGGCAGGGACGAAAAATCTTTTACAACCACTTATGGATATCACGAACAGCTTTATCGCTCAGCTCGCTGCATTACTTCGAGCGTTTAGATTGTTTGAACTAAACTGGAAGCCAGTATACGAACGAGGACAAAAACATGATGTTCATGTTTTATAGTTAAAAGATCTTAAAAGTTTGACGACGAGAGGTCTAGTGCCCAGTCTCGTCGCAGAAACGACCCGCGTCTAATTCACTGAGAACGCTTACCAGTTGTACGGAAAACTCGATAATTCCGGTGAGAATTCAAATGGAACGGTTCATCCCGGTGGAAATTTTTCGGATAAAAGGTAATACCTTCCGAGGTATTAAGAAATTACTTTTTTCCCGCCTTTTCCGAAACGACCGAAATTTTCTGCACCATTTGTACCGATTTTCAGTGCTATGCTTTCTCTCGAGAGAAATTGAAGAATTTTCCGCTATTTTGTAAATGGTTTAAGTCAATCCCATTCCTGTTTTCTGTGTGAAAAACAATACGAGTACCATTTGCCGGAAATTTTTCTTCGAAATTTCCGTACAAGTGGTAGCGCTGTCGATGCAACCATTAGGCCGCTTCCTAATAGGCCGTTTGCACGATGACGTGTTTTATTACTAAGACCAAAATTCATTTCGTTCTTTCTTTCATATTTAAATTTGGAAATCCCAGCGAGGTTTTTTTAAAACAAAAGCCCAAATTTGCAAAGAAAACAAAACCCTGAAGGATTCTGGTGGTAGTAGTAGTAAAATGACTCCATAGTACAAATGGCCTATTAGGCTTCCTGTTGGGTAGCCTGTGTGTGCATTTGGATTAAAAATCGAGAATTTCGGCCGTTTTCCCTTTGTTGTTAATGTGCCTCGTTTTCAGTTAAACTGCTTGCGTTATTTTGATTTGACGTTAAAATGGTTATGTCAAACTCGTTCCCGCTACCGCGATTACTACTAGTATTATTAGTAACCTACTTAGTAGTCGCTGATCTAAGCAAAGTAAATACAGGCTGATCAAAAACCCACAAAGGACCATCCGTCTTGACGAATAATGGGTCGGCTGTTTTATTAGTTTAAGTACGTCTTGTGGGAGTTCCTCTTTAGTCTGCGTAGCAAGCGTTTCCACGCGAGTCCGTCGAGAAAGTGAATGCGCGTGCATTTTATTTTCTGCTTCCTCCAACTATCGCGCAGTACCTCGATCGGAAACGCTTGCTACGCAGGCTAGTTCCCTCTCCCCGGCTTGCGCTATCGGCTTCCCCGTCAAATTTTTTCCCGAACGCGCACAGGTGACCCTGCTCGCAGGCTACAGTCTTTTAGGGGGAAGATTTTATTTCGTTTTAATTATAGAGAAAGCTTATACAAATGTATATGCTTTTTATTTACTTGTCAAGGTAGAGCCCTTATATTTCGGTTTAAATAGTGTGCCTGTCAGTGCTACAACGAGAAAGTAAATAATATTTTAAGGAAAAAGTTTATTCGCATTTTTTGTCTTGTATTTTTTGTTCCAAAAATCGCGAACAATTGACCAGTATTCCATCTCTCCTCGAATTTGTTAACGAGATGGAGCATAAATTATGAGCGTGTAAGACAAAAGAGATCCATCAATCCCTGACAATTTTTGATGTTTTATCTTTTCAGATCATAACTGAAAAAAGATGCAAGTGTTTTAGCCATGATTACAATCGTTCGAGTTTAAAAGTTTTTTCTCAAGAACAATGGCCAAACCTTTCACTTGATTGGGCTGTAAGCTTTTCCTTCCTTCATAGCACACAAATTGAACTCTATTAATGAACCCCATTAACGTTATGTCATTGCTGTGTTGATTTATAAGCATTTTACCATTTATTCTTGTAGAGCAATCTCTTCGTGATTTACGTAAAAGCTTTTCTACTTTTTATAATTTGTTCTTTTTGTTGTTGTTAAGCAAAGAGTACAATACTAATATGTCTTAAGTTATAATAGCACTCTTCGATTTTAAATTTTTGTTTTTTGGATTTAAATATGCCCCCATTAGCGATACTTTCCATTATTGTGTGAATACAGATGTTACCATTCGTGTAAGTACAGCAAACCTCAGTGATTTGCTTCTTTTGGTCATGAAATTTGGCACAATTTTAGTTTAAGGATATTCAGCAGTGGCGTAGCTTTTGAAGAACCAAGCTACTAAATAAGTAAGTTACACTTTTCCTTTGTTAAAGTTCCTAGTGCCTTTTTCGCTTTCGCCATGGCGTAAGCATTTCAGTCTCAGTTAACCTAACTGAGCCATTTTTAGGTCGATGAAAACTGCAAAAACATTTGAAAAACTACTCTGACTGGTCCCAGTAGAGGTCAGTTTTCTTGAAAATTTTCCTCCGCGTGAGAGAGAACAAGCTACGTGAAGAGATGAGCAGGGTATTGAAATCAAGATATTAGAATTTTTACTAGGAAAAAAGCTTTTCGAGACACAAAAACGTGCTGTTAAACGCCGACATAATAATTCCGAACCAGGTATAGCGATTACAATTCTTCACTCGGCCATTTATGTACCGGAACCGCACTCCACAAAAACATGACGCGGCTGCGCTGTCGGGTGGGTCAATCGCCCACCCGAGCCAACTTTTCGCATATTTCTGTTACAAAACACGGCGAACCGTTCTCAAGAGAAGCAAAGAAAAAAGGTTCAGCTAGAAGGGTCACCCGCTTAGCCGGGTCACTGTACCGGTGGTGTAGTCATTAAACAAGGAGATACTCACACTTCCATTGCTTTCGGCCTATATAGTGTCTTTATTAACTGAACAAGTATTTTTTTCCTGGTAAAAATCGTAATCTACTTTCACTTAGTATCAATACTTTTACATTCGTGCTGAATTACTTAAATGCCACTCAGTACATGTAGTTTCACTGATTTTAGTAATCGTGCATAATCGTTATACTATGGTAATCAATACACTACAGTAGCCGCGCCAACTTTTCTCCATATAAACACTTTGGCTCGCCCGGCCGGGTCAACTCGGTCAAGGTGCCAGTGAGACAATCAGAGCACGCGTTGGTGCTTTTTTAGCCAATCAGAGTAGGGCGAATATATAACCCTTCATCCGCCCCGGGATCCGCACTGAATTGGCAGAGCATGCTCGAGCGCTGTTAGTTCGGGAAAAGTTGCTGGGAAGGTGACTCTCTTTCCAGGACAACTTTTCTTCATAAAAACAGGGCCTAGGTCGCCAGAGCTCCTCCATCTTTTCTAAACTTCGTTAATGGATGTCCCGTCTTCCATTATGGCTCCTCCCACTGAGGTCTCCAAGGTTGAAATCAGATTCAAATTTTTAACGGAAAAGTTCTCTCTCGCTGAGCGGGAAATGATAACTGTCTTGTATGTATAGGTCCTCGACACAACCTAGCTCATCTGACAGAAACACAAGAAAACTAATAAGCTAAGTAGGTGGGGGAGGATATATTTTCAACGTAGCATCGCGCAACAATGAAGGCAAATATTGATTCACCATTTTCACATAGACCTTAATGCCTCTTGTTTCCCCCCAAAACATTTAGAATAACCTTTATCTCCAATTTATTACACTCGTTCCAAGAGAAATCGAACGCAATGGTTATGAATTTTTTATATATATATAACAAGGCGCGTTAATGGTGAATGTCTGACAGACCAATTTCGATATATTAAAATAAAGACTTGGCACCAAGGTTTGGGGAATAAAACCAAAAAAAATCATCTTATATAAGGCTCAGTAATGAATCGAAGTTGGTCTATTGACACAACATCAATCCATACATAGAAACGAGTCAAGGAGAGAACCCTGGGAACGAGTTTCACACATGCAATATATTTCTTTGCAACAAAGCCATGAACAGATTGAGATAACACCAACACCTTGATGGATGCGAAATTAACATTTTAATTTAAAGTGGTCTAATTGATCATTTCCCCTTCCAAATTCTGCTGTTCTGTTTAATCAATTCCCACAGGAATATGGACCACAAGCTGCATGTTGATCTCACCTTTCTCCTAAACAAGGTAAACAAAACTATTCTGATAACCACTTCGCTTGTGATTTCGCCTGTGCGTGCGTGCTCTCATGATCAGATAGTAAAGAAGTTGCAAAAACAAGATCATTGGAAAATCGTATCTCTCCCCAACAAGCATGGGTGTTTTTTCCTTTTTTTTTTTTTTCCATCAGTTTTCTTGATCTCTGAACACCGCTTAAACTGCGCAGCTGGCTAGATTAGCGGGTGAGTGCTTTTACGTCGGAGCCGCGTGAAGATTGGGACCAAATCAAATTGAAATAAATCCCTCGCGGCTCCGCAGTTAATAAGGAAGTAGGCTACACAATACAGTACTACCTTGGAGGCTACTTGTCATCAGATTTACTCACCCGCCATTCTATTCGCAACTTTTACTGGTGCTCATCACGTGGTATCAATCGTGATAATTACGGGTTATTCCCAGATTTCGGGTATTTATATTTTCTGTCACTTTAAGTGACATTTGACACTACCGTTAGTGATCACGTGGTATTAACCAAACCTCGTTGTCATGCAAAGCAGTCTTTTAGTTTGATCCCATAAGCCAGCAGGACAACAGCTTTATCTGGTCACTGCATGTACACAAAATCAGCTACCCGCTAAAACCTTAATTGAAGTTCATAGGTAAGAATCGCTCTTGTTTTCTTATAATAAGCCTAAATGCGTAGTTCTTTTAGTCTTATCGATTTCTAGTTTGGTTAAATTGGAAAGTGTATTTTGGTGGATTTTCACTTTCTTTTACAATTTACCGTTTGAGTGCTAGTTCAGGGTTCTATTGAACTTGTCTGCTGATTACTCCCGTTAAGGTTGCTGTTGATTTGCCCTACGAAAATCTCATTTACCCTTTTTTCTTGTGTCTTAAACCCTAAGTGAATGAAAATAAAACAAAGCTTTTTTTTTTTTTTCAAGATTAAACTTTGATTGCCGCATTTCTTATGGTGAGGATAAAGCTGTATTAAGCCACTATCACGAAAGTGATTCAGTCTTGTGTCTCACCAAGGAAATGAGTCCATGTTTCAAACTTGATCGTCTTATTCTATACCTACTCGCTCAGTTTTCTATAAGGCTCACAGTTGCCTGAAATTAGGCAGTCGACTAAGGAGCAGCGAGAAATAATCATACGAACCGAATAATAATCTGCGAACCGATCATTCAAAATTGATCTTTAGAGTATATAATCGTTGAAATTGACAAACAGTCTAGAAAGTTTAATTTTAGCAAATCAGTCATTCCCTGGTCGACAAAAAGGCCTAAAATGTAAACCTGAGGTGAGCTTACTTTTCTTCTTTCATTAAGCCCTTTGGCCAAAAAATATGCAATTTTGAAGAATAAAATTTTTCGTGTGATCGCGAATAAAAACAGGAGTGTTAAAAGCGTCAAAAATGTAAATACACAAAATTGGGGGAAAAGCCATAATTATAACTAGTTATATAAACGGATACATTAGGCGCTGTCGTATCATTGAGAGACGGTGGGAAAACGTAATTAAAGCTTCTATGGGTGTCGAGATTTCATACAGCCTTAGATAGCGGATGGTGTCTTAAAAAATCAACAGCGGTTATCACTGGCTTCAGTACATTAGGTTATCAAATGCCGTCTGAAACCAAAATCCAGTTTTGTCGCTTCGACTTGTACACAAACCTCTTTACAAGTCTCAGAATATTAAACTGAAATGAATGCCGGACCTTTCAAGTTTGGATGGATATTCAGGGATTTTGACCAAGTGTCATATCTGAATTTTAGTTTCTGTAGTTTGAGCAATGTTGATTAAAAGATTTATTTTTCTGTTACCCGTCATAATTATGCATATTTCATTCATTTTTTGACTGAATAAATAACATAATTAACGGCATGCTATAGCAATCTGACAACAGATAATCGTAAGGGTGTTAGGGATAAACGCTTCATGAAAAACAAGGTATATAACTGAACAATGGCGGTTTTTTACTGTGTATCTGGCTTTTTCAAACAACGTGACAAGAAAGATAATTCATCACAACTGTCAATATCAAAAGAGTTAGGTGATGAAGTATAATATGGTAAATGGTTTGCATTTGGAAAAGGTTAAATCTCACAGACTAACCTCCGCTCATTAGCTTAAACCGGACAATTTTTTTATTTATTTGTATTTGGTACCTTAAAAACACTCAGCTTTCAAATATCGATCATACGGTATTTGCATACCTTGAAACCAGGATAAATCTTCCAGTATGTATTTGGTATCTTAAAAACACTCAGCTTTAAAATATCATACGGTATTTGCATACCTTGAAAAGCACTTCAACCAGAATAAATCTTCTAGAGTGTTAAGATCAGCTATTAAAACACTCACCATTATTGTCTATTAAGTATTCTTTTCACTGCTTATAACTTGGGACGAAACAGGTGCATGTGCCTTTCCTAGAAATACCAAAATATTTTTTTATGTGCACATTTACCCCTCGTCCACTAGCACCTGGATATTTTTAAAAAGAGATTTGTTTTTCCTTCTTTTTCAAAACAAAAAAGGGAAGAAATACGCGTCAACACGTAGCGTGTTTGAATCGTTTTCGCCCATCCACAGGATCGTGTTTTGAGCTAATGTTATCAATGAAAGTACACAGAAAAACAGATAGAGAAATTATTTCTCGAAACACTTTATTTAAAAACCCATAAATTAATCCTTAAAAGCAATTCGCGTAACACAAACTTGGCTCGTGGATCCGTTTTTTCGGCCGAGCACACGTCAAAAATTATTCAACACAAATCTCAAGTCAGGGCGCTCCAGCCGATCTCAAAATGTATGAAAACGTCTGAGATGAAATATCTACAAATAAATAATTCCTTTCAAAAACGTAATTTTCCCGGACCATATAGTACAAAATCTTCCTAAAAATTCTTAAAAAAATTTCACAGCTTGGTTGCGTTTGCTCCGACCGGCCGTGAAGAAAATTTCCACTTC